TCTGGTAGAGACAGTCTCTAAAGGGAATGGCTAAAATGTTACTTCTTGGAGCTAAGCAGCCCACACTAAATTGCTTGGTATCTAAAGGTACGGCAGTCAGACTACGGGGTGCGAACGTATGCAGATAATGTTACAGCTTGTTATGTATGAAATCTTTGTAATACAATAAAAAAAATCCCTGTGTCAAACTGTAGTCTTTTCAATTCTGATTCAGAAAACTTTACTTCAAAATGTTATACCCAACAATGACGGAGAAATCATGAGCGTAAACTTATCAGTAAAGAAATAAACTTCTCTTCGCTTAGGTGTCTGGAAGCCAGAAGATGGCTCCATAACAACAATCTGTTGTTGTTTTTTTAGTTCAGTGACTTGTAGAGAATCAAGTTTTACTCCCACTTAAATCATAGCAATCTACAGAAGGGGAAAACTAATTTCATCCATACTTTTGCAGAAAATCAATTTTAAGCAGTAAAATCCCCCGTAATTGTCTAATTTATTCTTTTCTCTTAATCTACCTTACAATTTCTTTCTATGACACAACGACTCGAGAAGTGGTCACCATTCAAGACTTCGATTTGTTCAGCGTACGTACTTACCCGCTGTGGCTGTAAAAAAATATATTAGTACATGAAGTTCTTCTGCTCAGACTATAACCTGGTCAACCAAATCAAGGGATGGGGTCAGTGCTTCTAAACTGCTTTCAGAGGTCAAGAACAAAGTTTCACTATGGACTTTTAATACCCTTGTTAGAGAATCGAACAACCCAACCCACCCCAAAGTGTTGTTGGACCGATCATTGATGAAGTGAAATGCAGTTACAAGGTAAGGATCCGTATTATATTAGATTGTGGTCTCAATGTACAATCCAACAATTTTTTTACAAATACCTCCTAGAGACTGAGTTTTCAAATCTAATACGAAAAGTAAGTCTGGTTTCAGTTTCAATACCCCAACTGCGTTAGATTTTGAACTCAAATCTCAAATTGACCGACATTCAGGTCTTAATACTGAAAGTGACAGTCCTATAGACTCAAATTGAGCGACCTACAGATTTATCGCTCCAAATGAGCAACCCAAGTGGATGTCGCTCAAACATAGCAGTTTTAAAATGTGTCGCTTGTTTTGAGTCAAAAATGTCGCTCAATTTACAGTGGGAAGCTAAACTGCTGTGACGAGTCTTTTGTGATCTGTGTGTCAGTGTGTCTGTCTGTCTGTTCCACTAGGAGATGTGCTAGAGACTTAAAAGTTTCAGAGTATCTTAAGGTCCACTTCCTAGAGAACGAAACGCCCTACGGCAAATCCTGGCAACCACCCCTAAGGGTGTGAATAAGGGTATCCAAGGTTCAAAAATTTCCCCAAAAAGTACTTTTTTCAATGTTCTCAAAGGGGTAAATCGTCACAGTAGAGCCCTTGAGCCGAAAATTTCGTCCGGTTTGCTCCATCTTTTTTCGTTTCGGCGCTAGAGGGTCTTTTTTTTGACGAAAATGAGCTTAAAATTGCCATAGTGAACAATAAGTTGTAGAAAAGCAGAAAAACAGGAAAGAAACTCTCCCCCCACCCCCAAAAAACGTTTTCTAAGCAGAAGGGTGGGTTGTAGTCGCGGTGATTCGCCGTTACATCCCTTTCTCGTGTCTACGGGGCGACGACGGGTTTAAGAGGGCCTTCGGCCGGCTACATCATTCGATCATGTTCTTCAGCAAATCGCCTGACAGAAATGGTCGGGCCACCGCCACCATCACCGCCGGAAGGCCAAGCAGGCCCGGCCCCTGCCGAACGGAGTTGCCGCCAGAGCAAAGTGGAGCTGGCAACTTCGTTTGGCGGAAGGGCGGGCCTGCTTGTTTCTTACACAGATATGAAGAATACCTCACAGACCCAGATCGCATCAAACAAATAACGGAAAATATCAGGTTCCTGGGTCACAAGGCAACGTACAACCCGTCAAAATACATGCGTAACGCCAACGGCAGGTTTGACCCAGAGATTGCTGCCAAATGGAAAGGGACAACTACCTTCCTTGCCTGTTTGTTGATTAGCCGCTGCAACAAGAGAGGAGGTGTCCCAACTACAATTACAAGAAATGAAGTTTTAAATACTACCGAAACAGTTGAGGATGGGGAGGAAATGTACAGCTTCCTCGGCCAGAATCACAAAAACAAGAAACAGGGCCCTCTTTTTGTAACTGTGAACAAGTCCTTATGTGAGCTGCTGACGTGGTTTATGGATGTACGAGATATTCTTGCCGACAAAGTCGAGCACATAAACACTGAAGAGCTCCTCTTAAACATGAGTGGCAAAAGGCTGACCAAACTTTACGACCTTGTTAATGTCTGGGGAGCAGGTGAGGGGCGGGTAAATTCACCTCGAGGACCCTCCGAAGATCAATATCGACCCTTTCTAGCAGCCACTCAAAAAAACAAGCAGGCCCGCCCTTCCGCCAAACGAAGTTGCCAGCTTCGCTTCGGTGCGCCGGCAACTCCGTTCGGCAGGGGCCGGGCCTGCTTGGCCTGCCGGCGGCGATGGTCGGGCCTGCGGCCCGACCATTTCTGTCACGCGATTTGCTGTAGAAC